GCTGGGTGCGGGGACCATTCACGCCCCAGAGGCAGGCTCTGCCTCCAGTCCCATTTCTAGGAGGTCCCCCCAAACTCTCTCCCGGCCGACGTGTGCCTCCAGGGCTTTGCACAGGCTGTTCCTTCTGCCAGGCTGCCTTTCCCTCCTTCTCTTGTTATACGGTTTTTTTAAATTTCCTTCCAAAAAAGTAAAATTTTTAATGTACAGTTCTAGGAGGTGGAACGCATGTATAGACTCACGTGACCACCCCCATAATCAGCACCTAACAGTTCCGTCACCCCAGAAACCTCCCCTATACAGCCCCCGGGCAGTCACAGCCTCTCCGTCCACCACCCCTAGCGACGATCGCCTGTCCTCCATCCCTACAGTTTCAGCGTCTCCAGAGTGTCATACAAACTAAGTCCCACGGTACGGAACCCTCGGGACTGAGGTCTTCCCCTCAGCCAGTGCCTTTGGGACTCAGCCTTGTGGCCGCACAGATCAGCGCCTTCCTCTTCACGGCCGAGCCCATGGCAAACATGGCTCCCCATGTGCTCACCCAGTCTACAGCCAGGGAGTGTCTGGGGTGTTGCCAGTTTGGGGAGATCATAAATAAAGCTACAGTAAACAGCTGGATCCAGGTCCTTATAGAGACATAAGTTGTCATTCTTCTCGGGGAAACACACAGGATTTCTGGGTGCATGGGGAACGTGTGTTTGACTTCGGGAGAGACGGACAAACTGCTTCCCGGTGCAGCCGTGTGGCTGTGGGTTCCCACTGAGCTTCTGTCGTTCTGTGTCCTGGGCAGCACTTGACATTGTCAGGCTGGTTTGTTTTCTGGCTATTCTGGCAGATGTGTCATGGCTACTCTTCTCTTCTCTTCACCTGACAGAATCCGGGCTGTCCTTCGATGCCCCCTGACCCTGCCCTGGAGCCCCCTGTCCCCCCTGCTGCTCGGGCAGGTGCATCCAGCAGGTGGTTCCCGCCTCTCTGCATCCTCACCAGAGCGTTTGGCTCATAAGAACGAAAGGTGTCTGTGTGCTTCCCTCTCCCCTAAACCGACTACCTGCCCACCCCACATGCACACCCACACAAGTGCACAGACACACGTGCACACGCAGGCACACGCAAGCAGCCTCCCTAGGCCGCATATTCCCCAGAAGCAGCATCTGTGTTATTTGTTGCACCTCTGCCCTTACAATGTAGCCGTAAAGCAGGCATTTTCTGAATGAATGAATGAATGAATGAATGAATGAACGAACCGACTGCCAAGGCAGCAGGAAGAGAGGAAACAGTAACACACTCTTGCACAGATTGTGAATTCCCCTTTGTGGCCTTCCAGATGTGCCACTCAAGAATTCCAAAGCCACTGGCCCAGACCCTGCCCAAGGGAGACAAATGTCATTGGAACCAGTCGAGGCCTGGAGACCAGCACGAGGCCCCACTGGTTCCTCACTCTCTACCCCTCCCCTGCCCTCCACTCTCATCTCCTTCACCCCCAAACTCACCAGCCGCTACCTCAAAGCACCTCACATTCTGGAACCACCAGGCCAGGCCCTTGGGAATATGGCCAGACCCTGGCCGCTTCCAGGGATATGAGTCAGTGTTTTGAGGGGGACACAGGGGTCCACACAGAAAAGGGCAGCCCAGGGGCCACCCACAAACCACTGCGGCATCCTCACGGTCAGGCCGTCAGACACAGGCCAGTGTGGGCACGCCGGACAGCACAGGGGCTGTGCCCCAGACGCCCCAGGTGCCGCAGACAGAAGTACTTCAGCAGTCACCTCCAAAACTGTCCAAACGAAGGCAGCCCAGGTGTCTCGCGGGCCTCGAGGAAGCCAGACACAGTCTGCTCCTGTGTCTGTGCCGCTGGACCTCCCCGGCCTCTCGTGGGGGTGGTGTCTACATCTCTGGGGCCCATCTGAAGTCCATTTCTCCTGCTGGCCCCTGAAAAGCTAAGGGACTCGTTTCTTTGTGAGGCCAATCCACCCTCCACCCCCACTCCCAACCCACTGTTTTTGGACCAACTCCTGCTTGCTGTGGTTGGGGCCAGTGGGTTGGTTAAAACCCTGTGCTCACAGCCAGCCCCGCGCTCACCTGCTCACCTGGCACAGGTATGCAGCAGGAGCTGCAGGTGAGGGGCGTGACCACAACACAGAGGGTGTCAGATTCCGTCAGGCGGGGCCCCGAGGGCGGCCTGGATTCCCAGTTCTGATTCCAAAACCGGTTTGGCTTCCTGAGGGCCTCACCCAGCCCTGCACGGGCCGGCTGCCTTCCCATCCAGCAAGGATGCCCGGGAACAAAGACCGGGCAGCTGTCTCCCGCAGACTGGGCATTTCCTGCCTGCCGGAGGGAGAGATTTAAAGGAGCAAGGAAACTATTTGAGAATAGAAACTGCCTGGCCGCACTTAGAGAGGAGTCCCAGTGCACCTCTGGGCTGGTGCTGGAGGAGCACGTGGTGACTTCCTTACAGTTTGCTTCAGGCCCTGACGAAAAGAAAGCCTGTTTTGGTGGGAAACCCTCATTGCTATAGCACCTCCGGGGCGTGGAGTGTTTTCATCTCTGATTCCATTTGCTCCTTGGAACAACCCACTACTAACCGCCCCCCCCCCCCCCCCCCCCCCCCGTTTTACAGAGAGGGAGCCTGAGGTTAGGAGCACTCCAGGGCTTACTCAGAGCCGCAGGGCGGCCTCGTCTGGCACACACCCCATTCTGATTTCAAACCCCTTGCCTATTCTCCACCACTCCAAGCTGCCCCAAATGTCTCCAGGCTGCGAAGAGGACCCTGTGTCTGTGATGGGACCCGTGTGCTGGTGGTGGGAGGATCGGAAGAGCTAAGAGACCAAGGCCCTGGGCTGGCTTGAGGGCCAACTCAGCTCCTTCACCTGGAGACTCCCCTCTGAGCTCACCTCCAGGGGTTTCATCTTGGTTCTGTGGGGACAGCTGACCCATGCATGCGCTCTCCTGGGACCCCCGTTCCCCTCAGCACAGAGTGAAGACAGACGCCTCCTGCCCTTTGGGCCCCTGAGGGTACCTGGCTGCAGCAAGATCTGAGATGCAGAGGCCGAAGAAGCAATTTGTCCCCAAGAGCTTGCCCGATTCCCACTTAGCCGGCTCTCAGACCCCCCTGTGTCCAGGGACCACCAGCGGTTGGCCAGGTGCCACTGAAAACAGCCCCGAGGTGGAAGGTCCACAGGCAAGGAGATGGCTATCGAAATCCTGGAATGAAGCGTTAAAAACATGGGCACGCGGTTTCTTTGCAGAGAGGTAGTCATGGAGACACACTCTGATAAAAAGGCAAATAAAACAAATCAGGCTGTAAATCTGCACGTTCAGTATGATTTCAACTCTTTAAAATACTCAAGGGTAGGAGGCACAGCACAATGGTATCCATGGTTACCTGAAGACAGAGGCTGGCTGGATGGCTGTCAATTACTTACCCCCCAAGAATCAGAAAGAAAACTTTAAAAATTTAGCAGCAAGAGTCTTAACTTCATCCACTATTTTTCACCCAAGTTCAGAGATTCAGCGCACATCCGGTCTCCCACCATTACCATAACAAGAGCAATGCGGGTTCCATCTTAACTTCAGGAACCTGCTCCCCAGTCCTGTAGAGGCCAGCACCCCAACAGGAGGACCAGAGACACCCTCAGGTCCTGCAGCGCTGGGGTTACTTTGTGGAAAGACATTCAAGGATTCCAGACTATTAACTTTGTATTTCTAACTTGGGCTTTCCCTTCTTAGGTACCTTGGACCCCCAGTACGGCAGTGGTGAGGAATGACTGCATAAAGGCTTCCCTCTTCAGAGAAGCTGACTATGTTCACAGCCCAGTTTTGATGAGTTTAAAGAGGCTGCTCTGTGGAAGGGTCCCCAAGAGGCGCATGTACCATTTCCCTGGGGAATTTCACCCAAACCTTCCATGTTAGGACCTGAGACAGAGGTATTATGGCTGCTCTACAGAGGGAGGGACCCCAGGGGAGGGTGGATTTTAGCCCCCCCACTTTCCTTGTCCCTCAGCCTTTGAGGCCTGGGGTTCTCGGTCCTGGCTGCATGCTGCAATCACCCGGAGAGCCTTAAAAAACATCCTGTGGTCTGGCCCCCCCAAATATTTCTGGGGAGCAGTCAGAACAAGGGCTGAGAACCCCTTCTTCCTCCCACCCTCTAAGTTGTCCATGCTAAGAAGAGACCACCACCAGGGCTAGGCTCCAACTTCAGCCTCATTCACCCATCATCTACTTTTGGAGCCAAATGGAGCCTCCATGGCCATCTGGTCCAGTCTCTCCTTTTACGGAGGAGCAAACCGAAGTTCCTCCCGAGGATTCCTGGCCCCCGCCCGGTCCTTGGCTGGTTCCAGCCAGTGCCTGCCTGTCTGGGTCACTTTCTCAAAGTGTTTATCTTTCCTGCTTCCTGGTGTCTGTGAGCTTGGTTGATGGAAGAGCTACTTTCACGGGGTTCCCAGCTTTGCGAATGACATTCGGACTGACCAGCGCCCCCACACCTGCCCTGTGGTCCTGGGAGGTGGAGGGGGGCGGGGCACTGGGAGCGGGGCGTCGGAACCTTACCAGGGCCAATGTGGTTCTATGGTCATAAATGTAGGGCATTGCTTTTTACCAAATGTGGCTCAGTTATAGAAGATAATATAAAGTTCACATGCATTTTCCAGTACATAAAGTGACTTCCAGGTGCCTCACCCATCAGAGGCAGCCCTGATTGCCCCCCAGAATCCTCTCCTCTCCTGCGCTGCGGAGAAAGTTCGTGCGGAGTGGAGAGAGAGTTACAGTTCAGCCAGGGTGTGCGGGTCCTAATGAAAGCCCCAAATCCCGATGCTTCTGCCAGGGGAAGCAGCACAGCTGACCACCCCTGTCCTGGGTGCAGAAATGACAGCTGCCACTGCTCCCATGGAAACTTGGGGAGCAACTCTGGCCCCAGAAGCCTCGAGGGCTCTGCGTGCTGCCCCGAGGCCACCTGTCTGGGCGCCCACCCCACCCTTCCGCAGCGCTTCCCCTCCTGCAGCTCCTACCATGTCCCCCTCGGTGTGACTGGACCCGCTCCTCGGTGCTCAGTCGGCTCACCAGCTCATCCTGCCGCACCCGGGCCGCCCGGCACGGCGGCTCGCCAAGGCTTCCTGGACGTGGGGTCTCAGACCCAGGTCCACAGCTTCCTGGCAGCCAAGCTGCCCCACGACAACTCCTGGGCGAGCGATGCCCACGGGATGTTCCCTGGGTGGAGTTACTGGGGGAGGTCTGGGCGAATGTGCGCAGGATCTGGGGGTCTGCGGGAATCCTCCCACAGCCTGGAGCCACCGAGACCAGCTAGGGACATTTGCAGAGTTTGCAAAGTCCCTGCCGCTCCCGGCCCAGCCTCCCCACTTCCCCGAAAGCGCGGAAGGGGGGAGCTCCTTTCACAATAAAAGCCCTGCCCAGGGCTCAGGCAGCTGCAGCTGCTGAAGCAGGGTCCCAGGTGCTGGGAAGGAACCGTCCTGCCAGCTGGGCACTGATGAGCAGAGGCGAGAGGCCAGGGACTCCTGAACATAGGGCCCGGCTCCCGGATCCCAGCTCCCGGATCCCAGCTCCAAGGTGCGTGGGTGCGCTGTGAGTCAGCAATGTGGAGGGACCTGCTCAGAGTTGCCAAAACCATCGCTCTCCCCTGCAAAGCCTCAGAAAGACAAGCCCTTCTTCCTGGCACCCCACAGCCCCTTTCGGGGAGCTGGAGAACATGGCTGATACCGACTCCTCCATTATGGGAAGCACAGACAGTACCCGTGTGCCCTGAATCACCTCTGGGGGTGCACAGTCTCCCAGGACAGAAGAGTCTGCACGCTCCTTGGTGGAGAGAGGGCAGGGCATGGAGTCCACAGCCCTGGAGTTCACTGGGGGCTGGCACCTGGGTTAACAGCTTCCTGATGTTCATCCAGTGCCTGGACTTTTTGGAGACCTGGAGTAGCCCAGCGGTCCGCAGCCAGGCTCCCTGCGAGCACCCAGGACCAGGCTGAAGCATTGCCCTCCAAGATGAAAGCTAACTAATGAGAATCAGTGTTAGACGTGCCTGTGACTCTGTGACAAACCATGTCTGCAATGCTAACAATCTGTCCCCCTGCTCCCTCCCTCTCCACGTACTCATCCAGGGAACATTGCCACACACCCTGGGACTGGTGCCTAATGTCCATCGCAAGCAAGACTAGCGCCGTGTTGGAAGACACTCTGGCCATCTCCTGAAACGGAACATCCACGTGCTCCACGACCCAGCACGCCCGCTCCCAGATCTGCACGCAGCAGAACCGCCTGCAGATGGGCACCAAAAGCTAGGTAAAGAGCATACATAGCAGCGTTATTCACGCGGTTTCAGACTGGAAACAACCCTATAAATATTCAGGAGGTGAGTGACCGCGTCAGCCAGAAGACACGTAGAAGGAGGTTCATAGTAACTTTATCCACACCCAAATGTCCACCAACCAGCAGTGTATTCGCTCAGTGGGACGGCGCTCCGTGATTTTAAAAGGCCTCTGCTAAATGCAGCAACATGGATGCATCTCACAGGCTAAATGCAGTGAAAGCATCCGGACCTAAACGCATACACAGTCAGTTACTTCCTTTGTGTGCCGAGCAGACAGCACTCACCAGCAGTACACAATGGACGTGGTTCGCCCTTGGAGGGGGGTGATAGGTGGGGAGCCCGGGAAGCCTCCCCAATCTGGGCAGTGGGCACAACCCTCTCACTGTTCGCCTCCACTGAGGACCAGCTGGCTACTCTCAAGCTTGCGTTTCCTCACTTAACAATGTATTGTGACTATTTTCCTGTCAATAAAAGCAGCCCTCTTTCATCAATTTTAAGTTGCTGTCGCCTTTTTCTGATTAAACGTACTTTTAGAATCGTCTCCCTAAGTTAGGTGTGAATGCTGCAGGGGTGGGGTGCTATCTTACAACTCACCCAGAGAAAGAGGACCTGTGGAGAGCACCCATGCCCACCAGCCTCAGTTTCCTGGTCTATGAAATGGGAGTAATGCCTACCGCATGACGTGCATTGGAAAGTTTTAAACAGACAGTGAATGTAAGGAGCTTAACGCCTTATGGGGGCTCATCAAGGGACAGCTCTTCTCTGCCACCCTGACCACAGCCGTGTCCCCAGAGCCCTCGATGAAGCTGTGATGCCCCCACCCTGTTCCCACACCCGGACAGCAGGCCCCAACCTTTCTGGCACCAGGGACCTGTGCTGTGGAAGGACCATTTCTTCACGCACCCGGAGAAAGGGGGTATGTCTTGTGGATGACTCAAGCCCACTGCATTCAAGCCCACCTCCTGCTGTGTGGCCCAGTTCCTGACTGGCCAGGACTGGTACCAGTCTGCGGCCTGGAGGTGGGGGACCCTTGGTCTAGAGGGTGAAGGAGGGGCAGCACCAGTCCCACAGGCTTCCCGAAGCCAGTCACTGCCTCTCAAGGTCGGCAGTCACTGGTTAGCCTCTGAGGACAAATCCAGGGATCTCGGGTAACGGGGATCCTGAAGGCTTTCGCCATTGCAGACAGTAATCCTTCAGAAGGCACGCCAAGGCGGAACGCACTGAGCCTCAGGGCTGGCAGGCGGGACTGGATGCAGCCGGGTGGTCCCAGATCACGGTGCCAGAGGGAGCTGTCTTAAACAACGAGGCCTTGAAGAGGTAAACAGCACCACCGTGTGGCCACACTCCACAGCGAAGCTGTTCTACGCTTTGGTTCAGCCTTGGGTTAAAGTCACCAAGTGGTATTAATATATCCATTTCTCTTCCAGTGCCACCCCTGTGTCTCAGAGACCCTGATCTAGCTGAAATGGAAAGACAGAGCTAACACGCAACAAGCCACCGAAAGCAAAAGGCATCTACCAGACAGAGTTCCCGAGGGCTGCGCATCCCAGCGTCAGGCTAAGCATGGGGAGAGAGGTGCTTTTGGGAAATAATTCAACGGAATCTAAAGAGGACTCGTCAGAATTCCCTCCAGGTGGTCCAGTTTATAGCAGGAGAAGAACAAACCAGGATTCAGGGCAGCAGACCTGGTCAGAAGTCAAGAATCCTCTGTGGTTCGCCAGCAGAAGCCGAGCTTGGAGCCTGTCACGCACAGAGGGGGAGCGGCAAGAAGACTCTGCCCCACACATTTCACACCACAAGGAAGCGCAGTCTTCTCCTGAACCCCGGTCCCGGGGCTGCTGGGAAAAGTGCTCCCCAAACCGCCTGAGGCAGAGCTGGGCGGGCTGCCTCCTCCCTACCCTCTCCGTTCTCGTTCTTGCAGGTTCTGATTCACACTTCTCCTACAGCATCACATTTTGCTGTAATTAGACGTTTCCGTATAATGTCCTATTATTAGATTGTGCGCTCTTCTGGGACAAGAGCCATATATTACTATTTTGGATCCCTGGCAACTAACACATGAGTAAAACACAAGTGTTTACTTTTAAATATTGCTGGACTGTGGGCCATCTGCTCACGTTGAGTCCAAGACCCCAGACCTACCGAATTAAATGAACCGTGCCAATTCCAGTCGAAGCTGGAAGCTTGGGGGTTGGGTTGGCTCTTGGTTGAGGAGTTGGGGGTACGCCATGCAAGCTGTGAGCCGGGTGACTCCGTGCCAGGCCCCACGGCACGAGGGGAACATGTGTCCGGGCCGGGCCTTCTGATGCAGGGCAGGGTGGCACACAACAACAACAAAATGGACAACAACAAGGTACACAGAAGGGGGAGGAGCTCAGTGGGAGGGGCGGGGCCGTGAGGGAAGAAGCAGAGGTGAAAGCTGAGGTGGAAAGACTGGAAATAGACGACGACCAGAAACTCGAGAGGCAGGGGAATGTGAAGGACAGGAAATAAAGGCAGGGAAGTTGTCGGCCCATCAGTTCCCCCCAAAATAAACATGGACCGCTCACTTTAAGATGTCAAGAAGAAATAGGAAAGACTAAGGTCTCGTACACCCGCTGCCTGAGAAAGAAGCGGGAAAGGGTGGGCCTGCCAAGAGCTGCTCGGAGGCCGTGTCAGGAGACGGCGGTCTCTCGGTTTCCCTCCTCCTGTCCGTCCATCCATTGCCATCTCTTTCCCCAAAGGGTCAACCGTGGGGCTGTCTACAGCATCCCTACGAAGTGACCTCACACCCTCCCCCAGCCATTCCCAGAGGCCCCTTCTCATTCTAATGGTGGACACCTCTACGCACAAAGGTCCGCTCCGATGAACTATTCTTCGGGCCTGGCTCAGAAACACCTCTTTGTAACTCCCGTCGGATGCCTCCCAGGAAACAAGTCAACTCTACGCTCTTCAAATGATGACCTCTTGATGCTGCTGAAGCCAAGAACTATGTGTTCCCTGAGGATTCGGTTCTCTGAGACAACAGCGAGCCGGGGAACAGGAGCCTGTGCTCCTGGGTCCGCTGCAGGTCGGGGAGTTGGGGTTTGGCCGAAGGAACAACTTAGCTGTTGGCTTCCTGCCTGAAGCGCAGATGGGACATTCCCTTGGGTGGCAGGGGGAGGAAGCAGGAGATCCTGTCTGTGCGGAGCCCGCGGTTGCCACCTCCTTCCCTCCATCCCGCCCCTCCCCCATGACGGAGTAGCCACGCCCTTTGGGTGGGGACGATCCCAGCCCCAACTCCTAGCAAGGGCCCCTCAACTGGTTTAAACTGAGCCAGTGGTCGCACCCTAGTCACTACCTGAGAGATGGACTCAGGGCCTTGTCAGCCAGCAGGCAGCCTTTCCCTGGTCACTGATTGATTCAGAGCTGGCACGAGGCTAAGGATGGTTCCTGGGAGCATCACTCAGGACTCTGGGCAGCGGCGGCTGAAGCAGGCCTGTCCCGCTGCTCCCCCGGGCGCGGTTCACGACGACCACTCACCTCGCCCCCAGGAGAGGAGCCAGACCGCAGGCGAAGCCGACACACAGGGAGACAGAGACGAGCAGAGATTCAAATTCCGCTCAAAATACCTGCAGCCCCCTCTCCCTGGGCCTCCCAGTTACAGGAAGCAATACATTCCTCTTTACTCTGTAAGCCAGTTGGAACTGGGAGCTGCTTACGTGGAAAGACAGACAGACACCACAAGGAACTGTGAGAATGGAGAAGCTGAGGGAAGAGTTCGAGTCTCGCTGTGACCACAGAGTGTCCCAGGGGGAAGAAGACGGGACGGGGCCAGTGAGGCAACGTTCCTGCCGAGGAATCAGGAGCCGCA